GGGACTCTCAAGAGTCTTCTCCAACACCACAGTTCAAAAGCATGAGGGAATATCTAACTGTGACTCTGATTTGCATTTCCCTAATAGTGATGTTGAATGTCTTTCATGTGCCTGTTGAACATCTGTATGTCCTCTGGGAAAACATTTATTCAGATTCTCTGCCCATTTTTTTTTTCTCTGCCCATTTTTTAATCAGGCTGTTTGGTGTTTTTGTTGTTGAGTTATAGGAGTTCTTCATATATTTCGAACATTAACCCTTAACAGGCTATAATTTGCAAGCACCTCCTCCCACTCAGTAAGCTGCCTTTCCATTTTGTTAGTGGTTTCATTTGCTGTGCTGATGCTTTCTAGTTTGATGTCATCCCATTTATCTCTGCTTTTATTTCCTTTGCCTGAGGAGACATATCCAAAAACATTACTGCTAAGACTAATATCAAAGAGTGTACAGCCTGTTTTCTTCTATGGACTTTATGCTTTCACATCTGATAGTCATATCTTTTATACATTTTGAGTTAATTTTTGCGTATGGCGTAAGACAGTGTTCCAGTTTATTCTTTTGCACACAGTTGTTCAGTTTTCCCAACACTAATGGAGAGACTTTCTTTCTCCATGGTATATTCTTAGTTATCCATATATATGTGTGGGTTTATTTCTGGGCTCTCAACTCTGCTCCATTGATCTGTGTGTCTGTTTTCTGCCAATAATATGCTATTTTGATGAGTACAGCTTTGTGCATGCATGCTAAGTCGCTTCAGTTGTACCTGACTCTTTGTGACCCTATGGACTGTAGCCCACCAGGCTCCTCTGTCCATGGGATTCTCCAGGTAAGAATACTGAAGTGGGTTGCCATTTCCTCCTCCAGGGAGCTTTGCAGTGTAATTTGTAATTAGGGAGTGTGATACCTCCAGGTTTGTTCATTTTCCTCAGGATTACTTCAGCTATTCTGGATCTTTTATGATTCCATACAAATTTTATGATTTTTTGTTCAATTTCTATGAAATCTGTTGTTGGGATTTTGACAGGGATTGAATCTGTAGATAGCTTTAGGTAATATAGGCATTTTAACAATGTTAATTCTTCCAATCCATGAACATGGGATATCTTTCCATTGCTTTGTGTTTTCTTCAATTTCCTTCAACAATGCTTTACAGTTTTCAGTGTACAAGTCTCCACCTCCATGGTGAAGTTTATTCCAGAGTACCTTATTCTTTTTGCTGTGACTGTAAATGAGATTGTTTTAATTTCTCTTTCTGCTAGTTCTTATTAGGGTATAAAAATGCAACAGTTTTGTATTTTGATTTCATATCCTGCAACTTTACTATATTCATTTATTATTTCTAAAAGATTTTTGTCAAAATGCTTATAGAGGTTTATATATATAAAATCATGTCATCTGCAAATATTGACAGTTTTACTTCTTCCTCTCTAATTTAGACGTCTTCTCTTTTCTCTTGCCTAAAAGGTCTGGCGAGGACTTCCAATACTATGTTGAATAAGAGTGGGCATCCTGATCTCACTAATAAAAGCACAGCTTTTAGTTTTTCACCGATCAGTATGATGTTAGCTATCAGTCTGTCATATATGGCCTTAATCATGTTCAGGTACGTTCCTTCTATAATAATTTTATCTTATTCAAAGTTTATCATAAATGTTAAAATCGTTCAAATGCTTCTTCTGCATCTATTGAAATGATCATGTGGCTTTTGTCTTTTGTTTATTTTGTGTATCATATTGATTGATTTCATATGTTGAACCATACTTGTGANGTGTTTTATCCAAAATGGGTGCATTCTCCTGCAGAACCAGCACATAACCTCTAAAATCAGGAAATCATGTAGTTTCTGCATTATAATGTAATCCACAGCCCGACTTCCACTTTCAGCAGTTGTTCAATTGTATGAATATATCTTTTTTTCCATCTTCATCCTTTTTTCTTTTTTAGAGTGTTACTGAGATTTTCAGTTATTTGGACACACTTGATGGAATTAAAGCACACATGGTGAATATGGGACCTGGGTGGCCTTTTCTATATGTATTTTTTTTTCACTGAAGATGGTTTTAATGTTTATTCATGTTGTAACATGTATGAATACTGCATTCTTTTTTCCCTCATAGTAATTAAAAATAAATAACATGCCATTTGCCATTTAGATATTTGTAAGCATACAATGTTGTCGCAAACAACCTTTACTTGTTTTGCAAACCAGTTTAATAATGTGCACCTCGTGCGTGCCTTGGAGAAACTCAGGAAACTGAGTCAGTGACTGAAATGGCCCAAAATATCACCTTAGATACCATCTTCTAAAAACAAAACAGGGCCTTCCTGGTGGTCCAGTGGCTAAGACTGGACACTCCCAAAGAAGGAGGCCCAGGTTCAATCCCTGATCAGAGAACTAGATCTCCCATGCCACAACGAAGAGTTTGCATGCTGTAGCTAAATATCTGGCTTGCCTCAACGAAGGTCGACCTGGCACAGCCAAATAAAAAAACAAATATTAAAAAAAAGTAAAACCAAAGGAAAGGAAGGGTATGGTTGTTGTACATATTTACGTCTTAGCTTTTCGTATTGATAAAAAAAAAGAGTTTCACAAGACTGTCATCCTTCTGTTTGGTATATACCCAGGATTCCTTTGAAATGAGATTTCTCTGGTAAATGTGACTCTCAGTAGAGCCATCTTGAACTTGGGTTTCCGAGATGATTATGTGTCCTCTTAAAAAAAAAGTTACTTAAGTCCAACTAATTCTCATGCTGAAGCAGTATGTATTGGGGTAGCATTTGCTCCCCTTCACTTTGGATGTATCCCAATTTGTTTACACAGTCATCTACCAAAGACATCCTGATATTTGAAAGTTTTTAGCTATTACAAGTAAAGCTGTTGTGTGTAATTGTGTGATAGTTTTTGTCTGGACACTTTTTCAAAGCTGTTTACCAAGTACTAGATGTGTAGTGTTCAGGTCACAGGTGAGCCTTGTTTAGCTCTGGAAAAATCCAGCTAAGTTTCTCTGGCATGTGGGATCTTCCTGGGGAAGGGATCGAACTTGAGTGTCCTGCATTGTCAGGCAGATTCTTTACCACTGAGCCACCAGAGAAGCCCGTTTGGTGGTTTTTGTGATGTTTTTCTCAGTTTCCTCTTTATTATGTTTCAGGTTTCTGTTCTAGATTTTACCATACTGTTTTTGTTTTAAGTTTTGGTCTTTTGGTTGCAAGGCATGTGGGATCTCAGCTCCCCAACCAGGGATCAAATCTGCAACCTGCACTGGAAGGCAGTCTTAAACCTGGACCGCCAGTGAAGTCCAGTACAGCAGCATTATTTTTAACAGCCAAAAGGTAAAAGCAATCCAAGTGTTGTTCACTTCAGTCCAGTTCAGTCACTCAGTCGTGTCCGACTCTTTGCAACCCCATGAACCGCAGCATGCCAGGCCTCCCTGTCCATCACCAACTCCCAGAGTTCACCCAAACCCATGTCCACTGAATTGGTGATGTCATCCAACCATCTCATCCTCTGTCATCCCCTTCTAATGGATGAAAAAACAAACAAAATGGTGGACATACACCCGATGGACTATATTCAGACATAAGAAGGAAATTCTGATACATGCTACCACGTGAATAAATCTTGAGAAATGATGCTAAGTGAAATAAGCCAGCCACAAAAGGACAAATACTGTATGATTTTACTTATATGAGGTGCTGATCCACAGTTGGTTGAATCCATAGATGAGGAACCTGCAGATACCGAAGGTCAACTGCACTACACCAGACAAGGGACTTGAGCATCCACAGACTCTGGTACCCACAGACAGTACTGGAACTAGTCCCCCATAGACACTGAAGGACAGCCATGACAGCCATGCAAGAATAATGTTCCTACAGGGTTTTTCTATTTGTTTGATTGGTTAGAGTTTGAGTTGTTGTTCTAGTGCTGTTTTTTTCATGAAAGGGAAGAGCAAATGCACTCTGAGTTAACAAAACCACAGCAAGAACATGAAAAAACAAGTGACCCAAAAGGACTGAAGTCTGGCCTGCCGTGTTCCTCTCTGTGGCATTTGAGCCTGCAAAGTTAGCCTCACCACCCAGAGGGGAAGATGTAGAAGGAATCTGCATAAGACAACTGTGCAAAATGGAGCTGGGGGAGCCTTATTTGTGCACAGAGATACCCTTGAGAATAACCCAGATACTTCATTTGATTTCATACTGGAAAACTAAGAGGACAGAAGCAACTGTAAAAAAAAAAAAAAAACTCCCCAGCAGAGCATAAGGCAGTAGCTGTGCTTCCACTCCTTGATTTAGCCCAGACAGACTAGATGGCTGCCCATCTCTACAGGAAAAAAGTTACAGGAAGTTCTGCAATTATCTTCAATGAAAGCACATGAAGCTGCAACTTTTTATACAATGTACAGTACAAAGCCAGTTGTTAAGTATCATATTCAAGCCTGCACTTCTATGCCTTGCATGCTTTGAAATTTGGACAGCACAATGGAAGCCATTCAGAAAAACACCTGGAATAAAGGTTGGGGAGGCTACACCTGAACAACTTTTCACTCTTACAGAAGTGGAATGTTTAGAAGTGGAATGTGTAAACGCACCAATGGTTCAAATAAATGACAGCTACTACAAGAATCTGACACCTAAGAATACTGAAGAAATTATTGGGGAACTCAATGCTGGCAAAATCCCAAAACCTGGGTCAAGGAGTGGATGCTTCTCCTATGAGTCAGTGAGAGGTCTCACCTCTTTGACTGAACCACCTAAGACACTTAGTTCTGGTGTGCAAGCAGGCCCTTAATTTATGTTCAACTGTAAATATGTCACTGAAGAAATAAAATATGAATCTCCTAGCTTAAAAAAAAAAATCATGAGAAAACAACTTCAAGAGCTTGCAGCATAAAAGGAATTATCTTAATAAGTGGCTTCTGACTTCACGGTGCAGTATTTTAGTGTTCAATGTATATACATAATGAGCTAGTCATCACTTTTCAAAATCACAATTTCAAAATAATCACTTACCAAACACTATTCCTTTAGCAAATGGAGGAAACAATTCTGAATGTCGAAATAAGTTTTTGTGAATTTGCCATAGTTCTTTGTGCAGTTTCTTAAAGTCACTATATCTCTTCCATACGATTATCTAAAGAGAGAAGAAAATTAAACGTGTATCTCACAGTCAAACCATTTAGGTTCATATATTGGAACAAGAAAAGAAATTTTCATTAAAGTACTCAAAACTGTCATGCAAAGGCAAACAAAAATGTTCTAACCAATACAGTCCTGTCTGAAATCAACTAATAATATTTGCTTTAAAAATATAAAGCAGCAATTCTCCCCCCAACTGTTTTGGTTTTTAAATTTCATTTTAAGAAAGCACTCTTTTCTTCATATTAGAAAAATAGTCAAACTAGTACAAAAAAGGTCTACACTACACAAAATGTCACTTAACCTCTTCAAACATTAGTTACAGTTGCCCTGGAAATGAGTTAGATGTCAAAATATATATTCATCTCAAAAACAGCATGTTTACAAACACAAAATAATTTAAACAAATTTAAACATAAAGAACATACTCAGCACTTGCTTTAAAGGATAAATAATCTGAAAAATACTAAAGAAGAAATAGCTTTGTAGCAAGTAATTAACCTAAACTTTTGCATTTCATAAAATCTCAGTTAAGACAGTAATAAGATTTCTGGAGGCAAGGTAAATCCTGATCAGAATACCATTAAAATTAGGATATTTCAAAAAACAAAATAACAATCATTTAGATTATATAACACATAAAAGTAAGTTACCTTCAATAGTTTAAATTATTGTCTAAACTTATTTAAATTAAAAGAAAAAAAACACTTAATAAAAAAAAGAATTTAACACACAGTCTTAACACTGATCCAGACCTCATTCTCTATAGGGTAAAACTGAGTTTTAAATTCCATTACCTAGTATACTGGGGCCTTTACTTCTGAAAAATCTAATTATCTAACTTCTAACAAACTCAATAGTGTAATACTAATAAGCAAACATTAGGCCAAACAGGTAACCAAGTGAGTCTCCTGCACTGGCAGGCAGATTCTTTACCACTGAGCCACCTGGGAAGCCCTTTTTATTCATCTACTCAACAACGAAAATAGTCAACAAAGCAAATATTTTCATGAGCATACTTTATGCTAGGCACAGTGTTGGCACAAAGGACGAAGAAATAAGAAACAGTCCCTCCTTTAAAGAGTTCTCTGTCAAATTAAGAAGAATAAGCCAACACGGTAACTATATCACAAGATAGATTTATACCGCGTAATAAATGCTGCAAAGGGCAGCCCAAGGGTATCCTGGAAGGAGCACCCACACAGTGTCGACCTAGGTGGGCACACTGAAGGGAAGTAACGGCCGGAAAACCAACAACAAGAGGGGGGGAGAAATCATCAGGAAGGAGGGGTTAAAAGGAGAGTCAAAGGCCAAATACAGTTACTAAAATTTTGGCTTTTTACAACTGGATAAGTGGTGGTGCTATATTCCCGAAGGTGAAGAGCCAAGGCGAAAAAGCTGTGATGAGACAAGAATGAAGCTCAACTTTAGATATATTTTATTTAGGTGCATGTGAGGCTAACTCTAATTGAAGATATCCAACAGACAGGTCAGGAGTTCCAGAGCAAGAACTACTAAACAAGCTGTAGTCGCCGGGGGGTCATCAGAAGAGACGCAGAAATAACTCAGAAAAGATTTCTCAGCGTTTGCTACGAGACGAGAAGTCTACACGGCTGAGCGATGGGGGTCAGCCAGAAGTGAAGAGGGGGCCAAGGACAAAGTCCGTACTGAAGGAGCTCAGCTGCGCCGTGAGACGAGACGTCTGGAAGGAGAGGTCTCACGTGAGACGGAAATGAACAAGACAAACGCAGACAGCAGAGCAACAGTCCCAGCAGAAGACAGTGAGGAGCCGAGAGAGTCAGACCAACACTTGAAAAGTGAAAGGCCTCGGGGCACTGAGGTTGCAAGTGATTTTCTAATTTTCATACTTTGCTTCCCTGCATTTTCTAATCTTGATGCATTAACATAATTCTGGTCCTGGGAACATAATGCTATTTCATATTTTTTAAACACATCAAATTATGGTGGTACCACATCTGCCAAGGGCTTAAGGGCGAAATGGGTAGTGGGCTTCTGACAAAAACCTTACATAAGGGAAGCACAATCCTTAAAGCTATTATAAATTAGACATGAGAGCTATTCAAAAGACCACAGTTCATGGAAACAATTAAATCTGTAGATAAAATTTGTATTCCAGTTAGGGTCATTGTCAAATAAAGTCAGGGTAACTTAAGGGGCAAAAGTTAATAATTTAATCACAATAATGATAATACCATGGCATATAAACCAGCAGATAGTCTTTCAGAGCAAAAATTAGGAAATCTGTGTTTCTTCATTACGTCCTAATTTATTCATTCACATATTCACTCACATATTCTCAACTATAGAAGTGAAATACAAGAGCAAATAAAAACCCTCAAAAAATGCAGGAAACCAAAGCATCTCCAAAATGTCACAGGTCACTGCCTCCTTTTCTTCTTACTCCTTTTAAGCTTGGACATTTCTAAAAATCTTCAAAATGGAAAAGTAAACAAAAGCACACCTCCACTGTATCAGCAAGTATTGATGTCTATAACTGGACTATACAAAATGCCAAAAGATACATGCAAAAATAATATCTTCTCTAATAATCAATTCTTTCCTATTAGGAAAAAAAAGTTATAATAACACTTATTACTCTATTGATAATCAACTCTGTAGAAATATCCTATTCATTAAAGCTACCTCTCCATAAAACTTCTCAATTAAATACTCCTCAATTAAAAGTTCAGTGACAATCATAACAGACTACAAAGAAAAGGTTAATTTTCATTAAAAACATTTCCTTAGGTATTTTTTACATAAAATGAATGCTTTCTATACAGATAATTTCTCTTAATACCAAAAAAACTTTAGGTCTTTTACAAAATCACTCAATTAACATTCTCCTTTTTACTTTCATATAATATTTAAAACTCGCTGGATCAAATTTTCCTACAATATCACCACCATACTATCTGCTTATGAATTTTCTTTCCTCCCCTTTTGAAGAGACTTTTCTTTCCCTTGACACATTTCCAAATGTCCGCAAATAGTTTTTCTAAAACTGTGTTATTTATGAACTGACTTAATAGTGAGAGACTTCTGATAATGATACACAGAAAGTTCTATTTTGGTTCTCCTTTCCCAGATTTCCCCAGTGAAATATAGAGACGCAGAGCTATAGGTTACTTCTTTTTTTAAAGGTGGGGAGGGGAGGGCACATCTCTACCTCATTCTTTACGTTCTACAAGCGTGCATGCTCTAGAGAACCTACTGAACAACAGGTCACATTAACTGCTGCTGTCCCCACTTCAGAGTGACCCATGCTGCTCTTCATAAATGAAAATTAAGAGGGAATTTTTAAAAGATAAAAAGAAAAACCATCCTGGATAATTTTAAATTGTTTACTCTATGCAAGTATTTTGGCCTACTTAGGAAGAAAACATAACTATCTGGTAGCATGTGCCAAGCTGTCTGCGTATGAGTGAGAAAAAGAGCTAAATCTCCCCAATCTTCTAAGGATAGCATATTATTAGTCCTATATTTGATTAGATAAACAGTACATCTACTGATCTTCAATAGCCCTGGTGAAGCATAAGTAAATTCTAAATGAATCAGTTAACAGAGAAAGAAAGTGAAAAGAAAGGAAATGGAAACAAACTCTAGGTAGTAAATTCCTTTCCTAAGTAAGAATTTCAATATTTAAATGAAACAATACATGGGAAGCTAAAAAATGTTGTTATAACTTCAAGGTTATTCTATCCTTCAAGAAGTCAGCTAGACAGAAGACATTCTTTTTAAGATTTTATACCATTTTTAACAAAGGACCATGCAATCATCTAACTAAAGCACACTTACAAGAGTTTCTGATGAATGGTTCACCAACAGTTGTTATTATAAAAGAGTTTTCCCCAAAAAAGGATTAAGGAAATGGCAGAGAGTATGTTCATGGATAGGTTGGCTCAGGATTCTCCCTGGAAAAGGGGAACATCAAGCTACAAACTACAGCACAGAAATCAGACAATGTATTCAAAGGAAACAACCCATTTTCAATTCTAACAGAGATTTAAATTTTCAGAAGCAGAATAGCCTGGTATAGACTACCTTTTTTTTTTTTTTGGTATTGACTATTAATTCAACAGAATTAACAGAATTCTAAGGAATAGTTCATACTAATGAACTGACACTTAAATAGAAAGAGTACTTTCTTAATCAAAGGTACAAGTTATTTCAATACCATTTTGAAAAGATATAGATATATATAAACATAGACTTAACCTTTTCTTCCAAAATAACAATATTTTCTTCCTGGCTATCAGAGGGGCAGGAAGTGAGGTATCTTAAAACCCTTAAGGAAAACAGTATGGAATCTTTTTAAAATGTGTCTTTTATCAAATTTTTTTTAACTCTTTTTAACAACAGGACAAAAACAAGTATCAGATTAGATATAGCAAGAAATAGTAATACATAAAAGTTAAAATATCATCAAAACATGTTCAAACCAACCAGAACCAATCAATTTAAATTTATGAATCAAGTCAGGTATGTTTAGTAAGAAGGAAGAGGGGCTTGTGGTTAAATAGATATATAGCCCACCTGAAGACATTAAAATACAATTAGAAAAAAAAATCTTGCAGAATAAAGACTTAACAAATTACAACATCTGTCTTAAACACTTTAGTAGAAAGAAAATATATAGAGAGAGACTATATATATCCTTCTAGTCCTACTGTAAATAAGCAAGGACCAAAATGAAAGTAAACTTTAAAATGTTAAAAGAAGTAAACTCCTCAGTTAGGATTCCTAAAGGTATACACAAGGACAAAGTAATTACAAACAGAGAATTCCACAGTTCTAAGCAAAACTACAACAAGCTGGTATCATTTTAAAAAGAGGGAATTAGTCTGCAAAAGAACTAACTACAAAATTCTAAAAAGAAGCAATTTCCCAAGATGTCAACATGCCAACTCAATATAAAAATGGAAGTAGAGAAGGAGGTCAGGAGGGAAGGGATATATGTATATGCATGGCTGATTCATGTTGTACAGCAGACTAACACAACACTAAAACAACTATATGCCGATAAAAAAAGAAGTACAGACAAACCCATAATTTATTATGCTCTTTAAAATTAATACAGGTTACCAAATACTCTCTTTTTTTATTTTTTTTCTTTACCATACAGGCATCATAATTTTCAAATCAATAGCGGCCCTTAACTAGGACTGAAATCTTATGAGTGGCAATTATCAGAAAAGTTATCATGTTATTAAATGGAACTATGATTCCTGAAATTTTTATTTATATAACTTAACACCTACTGAAACTTAACATGTACTCAATAGGTCTGAAATAAGATATTTCAGTTACTGTTCAGTGAACTGAAGACAATTTCCAAACATACAATGACTGACATAAAAATAACTGCTTCCTCAATGAAGCATTTAATTAAGTTTTTGTCAAAATGCATAAAATAAAATTTTCATATGGATAAACATGTTACCTCCTGGACATCCTCTGGATTTCTTCGTGAAACAACCTAAAACAAAGAAAACACAGAAATATCTAATCATTATCAAAACTATTTTACACCTGCATGATTACTTTCAACAGCATTTGTATGAAAAATTCAATTTGCTTAAAGAAATATATCATTTTCACAGAACTCAATTAAATAACTTCACTATTTGAAACACATACTAAAAAACTGAAACAAAAAGGCAACTAAAATAAAGTCCACATACTAATATTCATGTACTATTACATTCCCAAGAGGATGCTTCATCCTTTTACTCTTACTCGACATAATTCTAACAGCTTATCTATCTCCCTTTCCTGGCTACATATAAATCAGAAGCATAAAAAGGCAGCTGCACCTCAGCAAAGTATACAAAGGGATAGTACTGTATTATTTCTTTTTTTTATTTTTCATTTTTTCTGTATTATTTCTTACACCTATATATAAATATGCAATTAGCTCAATAAAGATTTTACATTAAAAAAAAAGAAACAAACAAACAGCCACAATGCTCAGATATACCAATATCTGTTGGAAGTAATCACTGGCCTCCTAATGGTGGAACAAAAGTAACCTATTAAAAAAAAAAGTATACATACCCCTCAAATAATAATCCTATCATTATTGCCTGAGCAGGGAGGGTGGGGGTTGGATTCTTTCAGACTTCTCTAATGACAAAAGCCAAAAAGTCTAACACCGTTTACAAAGAATTCCTCACAAAGTGCACAAAAAGCAGGCTGGGCGCCCAAATCATCAAGCGCATTGCAGAGTGGGGAAAGTCTCATATTAGATACATAACACCCTCCATGCAAATGTGAAAGTCATAAACCTGACGCTACAATATGTATTCTGCAGAGACAAACAAAAAAATACATCAAACACATTAAAATGGTGCCTGCGGATGAGAGGAAGAAAAGTCTTTGATGACAGGTAACAATACTATAACTGGAGATTATGATCAACTCAACACTACTCCTAAGGTCCAAAACAAAAACAATACGTATACTGGAGTCACACAAACTTGGGTTCAAACTACAGTTCCTCCCTCACAGGCGTGATGGCCTCTATAGATGAGGATAATACTCCCTGTCTGGCCTGGCTGTAGTAGACAGCGAATATGGAGACACCAGGACTCCATGATTTAAGTTATCTTTCTCTTACTAGAGAATTTAAGTACCTTGAAAGATCCCACACAACAATTCCAAAAGAAAAGGTTTCCAATTTCTTGCCACTCTACCCTCCAACTTTCAGTATATAAAATTTGCTGAAATCTCTTAGCCATTTTCATTAAGAACAATGCAGTGCAACAGTACTTCCTCTGATGATGGAAGGAAATATCCCCTATTGCCACTGTTTAACACAGTAGCCCCTGGCCACATGCACACGTGGCTCCTGAGCGCTGGAAATAAGGCCATGGCAACTGAAGGACTAAATTTTTAATTTTATTTCATTTCAGTTCAGTTCAGTCACTCAGCCATGTTCGACTCTGCAATCCCATGAACCACAGCACGCCAAAAAGTAGCCACATCAAACAACAGAGATTTACAGTAAGGTTAGAACAGGTAACTAACAACAATGTATTATTCAAAAACTGGATTTTAACTATTACTTTCAAACTCCACCCCCTAAAAAACATCCACCCTTCCAAAAGCATGGTGTTTCACATAATTAAATGATTTAATTTTGCTTCCTATAGATATAAATTTGCCTCCTAAATATATAAGAACATATTTTTATAAAATGTGCAGAAGTTAGATAATCAATCCATTAATATCCACCCACCAAAAATAAATCATATGATCACTGGCAATAAGATTTATGTACCTTACTATTTTAAATAATACTTTAACACATGCAGATGATCTTTTTGGGACAAAAGAAATTATTTTCCTGCTTGGTGTATGTAGTAGAAGTATCACATTTTAGATTTTCCTCAGGTAAGCTGTTCCTGGAAATCAAATATATGTGTACTGCATCATCAAAAATATATTAGCCATTCCCTAACAACAACCACAATTTAAAAACAATTTCATCAGAAATAGCCAATCTGGGGCTTCCCTGGCGGCTCAGTGGTGAAGAATCCACCTGCCAATGCAGGAGACCCGGGTTCAGTCGCTGACCCGAGAAGGTCCACATGCCACAGAGCAAATAAGCCCACGCCACAACCACGGAGCCCACACTCTGGACCCCATGCTCCACAACAGAAGCCGACCCTGCTCTCTACAACTAGAGAAAAGCCCACGCAGCAGCGAAGACCCAGCACAGCCGAAAGGGAAAGAAATGACCAATCCGGGACTCCCCTTGTGGCCCAGTGGCTAAGACTCCTCACCCAACGCAAGGGGCCCTAGTCTGATCCCTGGTCAAGGGAACTAGATCCCACATGCCGCAACTAAAAGACCCACATGTCTCAACTAAGACCTGGGGCAGCCAAGTAAATAAATCAAAATTTTAAAAAACCCTTGTGGCCCAGTGGCTAAGACTCCTCACCCAACGCAAGGGGCCCTAGTCTGATCCCTGGTCAAGGGAACTAGATCCCACATGCCGCAACTAAAAGACCCACATGTCTCAACTAAGACCTGGGGCGGCCAAGTAAATAAATCAAAATTTTAAAAAAAGAAAGAACCAATCTGATTATGACTCCTCATCCACACTCTTCGTCGGCTCAGAGATTTCTGCTATGTGGCTACGATGGCAAGCAAAAGAAAGTCCCTGCCTTCACACCTGCCAGAGCTTGCAGTCTGGGGCAGACTGTAGTTGCTGAGCATCAGGTTAAGAATGGCTTCACCTTCAATGTTTTCATGGTAAGTCACTCGTAGTTATTATAGAAAAGCAAAACAAGTACTCAAACTACCTAACTGCAGGTCTTTCATTTTAAGCTCTCAAAAAGAACTTCTCCTCATCCCCACATACTTGCCATATGAAGGGGGTAAGTCTACTCAGGCAGAGTTTAGACAATCAGGTCAAAAGTTACTTCCTGAGCATTAACCATCCTTTTCCCAAACAGCATAAAAAAAGCTAGTGAACAGCATGTCCAGTAAGGAGAGAGCTATAGTTGCTTGATTCTTTTTCCTCGTTGCTTCTTTTGCTTCTCTTTCGGAGGTTTTTCTTCCTCCTTCTATCCTCAACATTCTGTAAGCACTCCAAGAATCGATCCTAACTCTGCTTCTTAGCCTACCTTTTAGTATTAAGAAAGTCCATATCTGTGTTAATACTGTTCAAGGCACTGTACTAGGCAAGTGGGAGGGAAAAACAACCTTGACTTCGTACATTTACATTTGCACAGCATTTTATATCAATCTTTCATTTAATTCCTTCAACAACCTATGAATTATGAGGAAGTGATTATTACAAGTCCCCCTTTAATCCCACAAGGAAACAAGGTCCAGAAACTTGTATAATGTCACATGGCTATTTACCTTCAGATTTGGAATTAGAACTCAGATTTTCTGATTCTTGATTCAGTTGTCTTTCCACTGTAGTCTACTGCAAAGGTCCCCAACCTTTTTGGCACCAAGGACCGGTTTTGTTAAAGACAATTTTTCTAGAGACGGGGGTGGGGTCTGGGGACGACTTAAAAGCATTACACTTACTGCACACTTTATTTCTATTATTATTACACCAGCTCCACCCTTCAATCATCAGGCATTAGATCCTGCTCTACTGCATCCCTCAATTTACCTGCAGTATTTTCAGGAATAACTTTACTTAACTCCACAACATCCTTCACCATTAGGTTTTATTTACTCTTACTCATGCAACAAATATCAGTGCCTACTCTGTTGATAAGCTGGGTACCATAGCAGTGAATACACTGGGTCTGATTCCTACATAACATTATAAAAATATAATCACTTGCTAAATACATTACCGAGTTCAACCACTTGGTACCCCACTATAAGGATTCAGTATTCCCATGTGTGCAAACTCACTTAAATGAGTTAATAATGTGTCCCCTGAAGTGAAAACCAAACAACACAATGAGTTGGAATAACATAGTGGTGGTGGTTTAGTTGCTAAACAGTGTCCAACTCTTGAGATCCCATGTACTATATAGTCTGCCAGCCTTCGCTGTCCATGGGATTCTCCAGGCGAGAATACTGGAGTGGGTTGCCATTCCCTTCTACAGAGAATCTTGCTGACGCAGAAATCGAACCCAGGTCTCCTGCATTGCAGGCAGATTCTTTACTGACTGAGCTATGAGGGAAGCCCCCTTATGGAATAACATGAGTTGAGCCCACACGTCCTTTAATAGTAACTCTTTCTAACTACGTAATTCTCTTCATCAGGACTACAAAACTGACAAAAATAAATAAATAAAAATATCAGAAATCTGAGTGAAAAAAATATGATCATACTGAAAATGAACAAAATTGAAACCTCAGATCCAGATTTCTATAACTTTTAACGTTATGTTAGCAATTATCTAAATAAGCAGTCAATTCCAAAACAAAAGTACTATAAATCCAGGGACTTGCCTGGTGGTACAGTGGTAAGAATCTGCCTGCCAATGCCAGGAACATGGGTTCGATCCCTTGTCCCAGGAGATTCCACGTATGTGGAATGGAGCAACTAAGCCCATGCACCACAGTACTGAGCCAAGTGCCCTAGAGCCCAACAGCCTCACCTGCTGAGCGGGCATGGTGCGGCTACTACAGCCCGCACGCCTAGAGCCTGTGCCCCAAGAAAAGAGAAGCCAGTGCAACGAGAAACCTGGGCACTGCCACAGAGGAGCCCCCGCTCACCACAGCTGGAGAAAGCCCGCTCACAGCAACAAAGACCCAGTGCGGCCAAAAGTAAGCAACTAAATAATATTTTAAAAAATACTGTAAATTCACCCTGGTGTAGATTGCTAAGATTCAAGTAATTCTTTTTCTGGGTGAATTTCAATATTTTGTTATAAAATTCCACAAAAGTTGGAATTCAAAGCAGTGATTTCTTTCATTTAAAGTTCATAAATTTCCATGGCAAGCATAGACTATCACCGGCTCAGTAAGTACTATACATATCATGAAGAGCCTTTT